GGGAGTTCACTTTCTTGGTCTTCAAATGCAGCCAAGGGAGGGGGGGGGTACTCATGGTCGTGCATGCGGTAGTCGTTAGACCATTGACCGCGCATCCCTACAAGGCCGGGACGGAGCACTCCGGGTTCTCACCGGGGGGGGGGCAACGGCGAGAATAAAGAGAGCGCACAACACGAATGTGGCGCATCTGTGTACCCATATCTCACGTGTTGTCAAGCAGCGCGTTGGCGAGAACCATTGCGGACCTCGGCCTCATGTTGTTGAACGAGATATCCAGCAGCCTCAGGCTTCCGTTGGACCGCAGAGATTGCGCGATCTTTTTTCGCGTTGGCAGCCGACCGGTGACAACGAGGGCGAAAAAACGCACGAAGTCAAGTCGTAGCGACCGCACGGAGCCCTGAACCTTGCGGCGTTCCTGTGCGGTTCCTCTCTCCGTCGACGATCGCACATAGGCACGACCACTTCCTGGGGATGCTCACAGCGTTTCCGAATTCCCGTTACTCTCGCGCCCAGCCAAAATAACGGGAACCGCTGGCACCGGAACAAACGGCCACCCTTAAATACTACACAAACCCTTAATATCAAACGGGGAAAAGTGAACGACCAAACCTTGGACTCTTAATATAAACACGGGGAAAAGCGAAACGACCAAACCAGGCACAATATGACGATATACACCAAAGGTTCGGTCCCCCGTATAGGTGGGTCTTACCGCTTGCACGCCAGCATCGGCGAGGCTGTTGTGCGCGACATTTAGCTCGGTAAGCGCGCTGTTGTGCGCCAGAGATTCACCAAGGGACACGCCGCTCGCCATTCTCACGCTGTTCCAGCTTAGATCCAGGCTCCAAAGGGTGGTGTTTGTCTTTCGGAGTCGCCCAGCCGAACAATTTGGGGAGCACAGAGGGGAGGGGGGGGGGGTACTCATAGTCGTGCATGCCGTAGTCGTTAGACCATTGACTTCGCATCCCTACAAAGACGGGACGGAGCACGCCGGGTTCTCACCGGACCAGGCTCTCACATCACCACGCGCGAAGCGCCGTGAGGTATTCGGCGAGTCGCATGACGGGTGAGCTGCATCCTGCTAAGGGTGTTCGGCACCTTGTGCTTACTTACTTGCGTACGGATGACAGCTGCGTATGACTTAATTTATTTTCTGGTGCTTTCACTTCCAGAGACAGTTGTAAGCACTGTGTAACTGCCTCCAGGATGCTTGGCCATTTTAACACAACGTGGTGCGATCATCCCCCTTGCGCGGAGTGAGGCTTCTCGACCCCGCACAACATGATCTACTTGACCACCATTATGGTTACCGCAAAAAAAAAACAGAGGTAAAAAAGAAAAACGGTAACCTGGTTGCCGAGTTCACGAAGTGAATTGGCTTGTTTTACAACGTCGTTGCCAAGTGACGAAAACCCAATCCCGATGGCAAACACCGAGGGGGGGGGGGCAGAGGGGGAAAGGGATAAGCCTCGACTAGCTTTCCCCTGACACCGCGCTCAGGGTCGCGCGACCAGGAAGGGGTTGTGACCGAAAAGTGTGGGGGAGGCATGGAACGACGTTGACAGTTGCTTTGTTGACGCCTGGACTTCCTACTAACTCTCTCTACTACATCCCCTCGCGAGCTGACGACTTCGTCACCGAAACGCTTACGATGCCGTCTCCAGCAACAGGATAACGGCGCTTTGTGTGATCGGCTCGGGAGCGGGAAATTCCCCAGTTGCTTCGTTGCATCACTGGAACAAATGGTTCAGATTTCGAGGCTAAGCAACAGGTGTGAGGACCAAAGGTGGCGCGGTGATCTGCGCGCTCGCAGCAGGTTGTGCAGGTCGGGTTGGGATTGCGCACTGGAGCAAATGGTTCTGCTCTTTCAGCGCTAAGCAGCAGAAGGAAACAGGCGTGCGGAACGGAGGCGGCGCGGGATTTACCCGATCCCAGCATATTGTGCTGGTCGAAATCGGGATTGCTTGTAGGGATGGGTTGGGATTGTACGTGTAGGCATCCCTTCTGCAAAGGGATAGACACCGACTCACCTCGATCATTTCGGCAACCGCCTCCCCCCCTGTGGTGTAGTCTGGTCGGACGAAGTTGTACGTCTCCTTGTCGCCGATCATGTTGTGGCTGAGGTCCAGCGCCTTCACAGAAACGTTCCCCGCAAGAGCCTGCTCGTTTTGGGTGTACAGGTGGTCTGTGAACGGGAATGCTGCTGTCACTGCTGCTGCTTTGTTCGTAGGTGCGCTGCATCTTGGTGGTTGATTTGTTCGTGCTGCTTGGACGTCTCTTCTTGCTCGGGCTAGTTGCCGCTGATGTTTTACTCTGGTTGACGTGGATATTCCTTGGGTTGGTTCGGAGGTGCTTGTGGTAGCAGTGTCCGCTGCCTTGTTCATGGGGTCGGTGCCAATGCTGCGTTAGATCAAATCAGCCCTGTTGAAGGTATACATTTTGTAGAGTACGGCACGTACATGCGCAGCCCAAAGTCAGCTGACTTTTTGTGTTCTTTGGTATCGCTGCGTGCGTGTGCGAGCAAAGGGGGGTGTGCCGATCGACAGGACGGCAATCATTGGAATACGCTCAAACTCTGTTTGACACCATAGGCTTGGCGACCAATGCATAACTAACCAACGAAAAACGTACATGGGGGCGCGGTTTGAGGATGAAATGCGCACGCTGTTGGGTCCGGGACAAGGAGAAAACCTGCAACCGAGACTTGATTTTTTTCGTACGCTATCCTCGATTTTGGACGAAAGTGTGGCACACACCGCAACACGTGACTCTCGCAAAAGAAACAATTGGAAAACTGAACAGACAATATGAGGCCGGCGGGGGGAAAGGAGACGATTTTTGTGGCGCAAGAGGACCTCTGTTTTCAGCAGGATGAAACATGGCACCATGTACCTCCATGAGAGAGTTGCACTCGTCATCATCCACGTCCGCGTTCGACAACGAGAGCCGCTGCAATTTACACCTATCGGGGGTAATACGATTTCCGTTGGGCGCGGAGGTAGGCGAAGAGTCGTGGAACAATCAATGCCGGGTGGTTGAGGCAACATAACTGGGTGCTTTTCATTTTGGAAACACGAGGGAACCGCGCTTTGGCGTAGTTGAAGGATTGGTACTTTCACCGCGGGCAGGGTGATGGTTTTTCGTTTAGTGTCTACCCACCGGGCCTTGTGTTTGCGAAGGTTACGCGAGGGGAACAAAAGATTTCTGTCTCCCCAACGAAAAGGCTACCCAGCCACAAAAGAACAGAAAAATCTGGCCTAGGCTGAAAGAGCGGCAGTGATGTTCCACCTCCGTCTGTCCTAACCGCACGTACCCTGCCAAGAATGTGATATTCAGCACAATAGAACAAAGTGTCTTGCTATCGAGGATTACTGGATGATCAAGCTCACCAGCGCCACACAACAACAGCTACTGTCGACGATAAGTAGTAGCTACCTCAATCTTTTACCTCGCAGAAGCGACATACTCCCGGAGAACCAGTGCGCTGTGGTCGATCTTGTTGCACGAGAGATCGAGCGACGTGAGGCACTCGAGCCTGACGGCCTCAGCGAGGATGTTGTTCTGTCAACATGCACCAAGAGGAGATCACGGTTGATGCGAGATCCTTTTTAATCGCGGCGCAGACAGCTTCTTGGAAATCAAGGCTTCGGGACATCGCACTACAACAGAGAACAGAGGGCTTTCACTGCAAGCTAACCGACGGGGTTTATGGACCTTCATGACCTCCACTGGTCGTTACTTGGTTTTGCTCTGAGCCATGTGCCTGCCCCTGTTGCTCGATCTCTACGCCGCAACGATAACCGTGAGTACCAAGCACTTACCAAGGAGGCGTCCGTGAGGCGATTCTCTCTGAGATTCAGAGAAGCTAGGTTGGGCAGGAGGGGGAGAGTGGTCGCGAGAGAGAGCCCAATTTGGTCTCCCAAGCCCTGAAATCCTGCGGGACGTGAAACGTGTGCAACAGGGCGCCACGGGCGTCAAACGCCTTGTTGTCACTGTCAAGTTCTCCCTTTGGCGCCGGGTTGGAGATAAAGTGAGCGTTTGGAAGAGCTTCGTGTTCAACTATTTAGTGCGTCATGTGTTTGTCGATATCTCTCCGTCTTCCGCTTGAACCTCCTCCTCACACCCCCTCTATCCCAAAACATCCATGTGCGAATACGTGTATCTTGTCCTCTAAACCCAAGAAAACATTCGAAACATATACCATAGTGCGTTTCAGCAGGTGGTCCGCGAGATCGGGTTCCGATTCGGAACCCTTTCGTGCAAGAAGCAGAGCGAATTTTGTCGAAGAAGTAACGATGGGGGCACATGCGGCAGTAACAGCAGCAGTAGCAGCAGAATTACCTAAATCGAGGGTGTGCGGGTCTTTCCTGTTCCGCATCATGGTGGGTGACGGCGTTATTCCTCTCGCTAGCGTGTCCCGGAGGAACAGCCTCCGTGGTGTGAACTCCGACTCTTCGAGAGCTTCGTCATCGTCCACCGTTTGTTTTTGGCGATGCACCAGGCGGTACAAGTCGTAGAATCGGGGTCGCGCCCCCGAACCGTAGAACTTTTATCGATTCGTCGTATTTGCACGTTGGTACACAGGAGGTTGCGGTTTGATGAGGGGGCGAAAAGGGAGGGGCAGGCCTTGAAAACCCTGAAGGGATGCACAGTATCTTCCAAGAGGAAACTGGCACACTTGATATCCACGGAGGGCCAAAGTGGTACCCACCTGGGGCCCATTAGGTGTAGTTCCGGAGGAAGCCTAGGATGCGGTGAAAAACGGTTTAGGACACTCTATGCAAGCACCTCTGCAGGAAGGTCTTCACCGTGGGCAGCGTCGGAGGCTGCCATCGAAGACCCTTCGTAGAGGCCGTCGCTGACCCAGTCCTCCTCACTGCCCAGTGCCAGCGTGCCCTGCACAGTGGTGCGGCCAATACCGGGAGTGCATGGAAGAGAGTATTCACTTAAGAGACGCTTGGGCCAACATAAGAGACACGGCATCCTTCAATGTACGGTACCTTCTTAGAAGCGGGAGCAGAGCGACTTAAACAACTTCAATGCCAAAGCCCACAAAACAGAAGCCTTCACCATTCCGTGCCTCCCGTACCTTAACCTTGGAGTAGCGGAAGTGCGCGAGCTTCGAGACGTCCACCTGCACGGGTCTGCTTCTCGCTTCCGCCGCCTCTGCCTCTGCCGCGGCCGCTTGAGCCGCAGCCGCCAATCCGGCCTCCCTCTCGTCCTCCTCGGCCGCCAGAGCAGCTGCGTTGAAGGCCCTCCGCCTCTGTGCCGAGAAGAACGCGTACGGGGAGTTCAATCAGTTCCAGACGGGGCATCTATACTCCCACGTGCGCCTCACGGACAGAAACATGACGAAACGATTGTGGTTCGGGGCGAATGATTCAAGCGTCATCATTATATGTTTCATGCGCGGCTTCGTCACTACCACAGGGGGCTTTTCCCGCGCATCGTCGTCGCCCGGCGTTCCCCTGCCGCGTACTTTCAAAAACCCTGTTGGGACTTCCTGGAGACCAAAGTGAAATCATGGGCGACGAAGATGTTTCCTGCCCCCCACATGTATAAGCACGCCGAGATGTGTGCCGACATGGATTGAAAACACCAGGGGTCCCTAGGGACGGGTGCTCTTCCGATCTTTTGGTTGACGAACCAGTTTCTAGCCGGTTATGCATGCCTTAGGGTCTGCTGCGAGTTCCAATTGCAAGGGTCCGTCACATGTTCGACGATTGAGACGAATGTAGAACGCAATAAGCAGAGCTCACGTGCCAGCCACACTAAGTAAATTATGTCTGTTCTGACGACCCTGCGGAACGCACAAGTGGCCGTATGGGTATGTTCGTGCGTGCCTGCGCTGCAATACTCGCTGGGGTAGTCGCTCCCCGCTTAAAAAAAATGCAAAGAACGGCCATCTAGATTTGGCATTGGTGCTGGAGGCCTAACCGAAGATAACGAACTCTCGATGCGTCGTTCCCACTTTCCACGCACCTGCGTCATCTGTTGTCGGCGTTGTCGGAGATCCCTCTTCCGCGCCCTCACGTCGCGTCGATAGCTCGACCGTGCCTTCAGCTCTTCTTTCGTGGGTTCGCTTACGGTTGCTATCGAACCTCGTCGTGTCGCCGGTGCCACCTTTTCTGTCGGCTTTCTCGAGGCTTTGCGAAACCATTAAAACGTTAAACACACGACCGATTCACCGACAAATTTCGGAATGGTTAGATAGGTGGGGTAGCATTGTCGCTCGTATGGAGAATCCCAAAAGAGGCCACGTTCATGACGCCAGACCCGGAACACAAATGCCAAGAGACGCTCCACAACTTGGAGTGGTGGCTTCACGTACGAGAGTACCACTTGGGCAGCCCGGGTCATCTACGGTACGTAGAAGTGTGACGGTTTGTGTCTCACCTGAAGCTTTGCTGCGGGGCGGTTTCATGCCGCCTCCTCCAGTTCCGCCGTGGTCCTCGCTCCCGCTGCCGGCGACGTTCTCCGTGTCGACGTCATCACCAGAGGAATAAGCGGATGATGACGAGGAGAGGTACTCGTCTAAGGGATCGAAGTCCATCCCATCCCACGGCTGTGCAAATCTTCCACACAAGGGTTGGCGGGACGCCGGGTAGGGGAAATAATGTGGATCGGCGAGAGCGGAGGAGGAAGAAGGAAGTTTCTTTTCAAGCAGACGTAGCGAAGGAGCCGCCGAAAAGGTGGTGAGATTGTTGGAAGCGATCTCCGCGTCACATGTGCGGGGCGAAACGGAACCCTTTTCGGGTAGCCAGAGCTTTGTCCGTCGAACGATCGCTCGGTTTGCCGTTGCGTCATGATGTCGCTACGGCGACGGTCGAGCACAAAGGCTGCGTACCTTAGGGTGGGATACAGCGAGTTTTTGGCCTGCAGGGACCGCAGAGCTTCCCGCTGACTTGTGACCGGATCGGCGAAATATCGATACCTGCGTGAGGGCAAGCGATAATACCTCGCAGTCAGAGAGATAGCACGAGACAAAATCGCCACGGATGATGACGAAGTCACTCAACCTGTAACAGACGATAGAATGCCGCACCGAAGAGCAAACAATTCCCCCTAAAATTGTTGATTGTGAGGCAAAAAATCGGTTCCCTTTTTCACTTGTTTAGTGTCTCTTGCAGCCGGAACGGTGAACTTGTCGGCGCTCCTTCAGCTCCTGCTTTGCTCAGCGATGCTGCTTTCGGAGGCACACCATCACTTCCTCGGTGCTGAACAGCTCGTCTTTCATCCCCAAACTTGGTCTGGCCCGCAGCAACGCAGCAACCGAGAACACCGAGACACAAGCCTCGGTTTGGGCGAGGGTCGTTGCCGTAAGTTACGAGCGCACAACAGAGGGGTGGATTCGTCCCGTTTGTGTGGGGCAGGCCCCCGTTTCTCCAAACCCAGCAGCACACGCAATATTATTCGTCTGTGACAATGCTACACCCCTATATACCTTGCCTGGATACCGGCGTCACGAAATTATTGCTACCACACACGTCAAACGTTCATTCGAAACACTTCGTTAGGTTGCGTAGCGAGGCACACCTCACCGAAAGGAAGCTTAAACAGATCCGTTACAGGCCTTGAAACCCTCCGCTTCCCCTGTGGTTATGCTCAATTTGGGTGCTCACCATACAAGTGGTCTGCACACTTTTGCCATGCATCAATATTCGCCGACAAACTTCCTACCATCCAAACGCTAAGAAACATAGAACTAATGTCCCCCTCCGACGTTCACAGACCGATGATGCCCCTTCTTGCCTGGGGAGTGATGACAGCTCGATTTGTATCATTTTTGGTGGCCTCATTTGGCCGAGCGTTCCCCGAAGCGTTTTCGGCGAGCTTTCCGCGAATATTCGCCCTTGTGGTTTGGCCTCGGGATCTCTCAGAAGGGGTGCGCCTTACGGGCTTGCCTCCTCCCATCTGCTCTTGGTCGGGGATGTCGTCGTATACGACCGAACAAAGTGCCGAGAAAGTTTCAGGGTTTCCGCGAAGAGTGCATAGACTTTAGCACTGCCAGCTTGGGAAGTCGTGCGTTGTCTTTAGCGTGGAGGAAGTCGTGCGTTTGTTTCGTGTCTTGGTCGCCGGAGAGCGCACAACGACAGAGGGTACGGGATTCATGGGAAGCACAGCGATCTCCAGGCGAGGAGAAGGACAACCAGCGATCTGCATCGTACCGGTTTAGGGAAACAGTGAGAGTTGCATCTTATCTACGGAGTGGCGGCTGGGGCGAGGGGCAGACAGAAAGACCGGGTCCACATGCGTGATTACCCCTCCATAGTCCGGATGCGTATGTTATAATATGTTACCGTCGCAACCATTCTGGGCTCGAGTCTTCACCTTCCGGTTTAGTAAGTTTGTACCACCAGCCGGGGCCACACAGGAGGAAGGGCAACACCGGGGTTCCGTACTTATTCACCTTCCCCCCTGGGGTCCTTGCCTTAAATTTTGAACACGAGAGAAAGCTTTAGTAGTTTCTCCCCTCCTTTTTATGTTTACTGACGACAACGTGCTGTCCACCTCTACTGTAGAATGCGAATGATTCACTTGACAACGATGCGAACCCGCAATCTACAGAGTCAAGGAGATGCGAAGGTACCAGCTGAACCGCCGGAGGGGGCTGTGCCCCGGGTCCTTAGTGCGAAGCAACGTGGGTTCGTGTCGGGATCTCACTGCGTGCGGTAGCCCCCGCCTGACTTCCACAATGCTGCTTTGGCCGGAAGATCTGGGATACAACGGCCGGTGGTGGCACCTACGTGCTACTGCGATGCGCTGCTGCGGGGACCGCCTTCGCGCGATCAATACTTTGTGAGGAAATAGAGCAGAGAGGGGTGACGCAGACCCTGTTCCCTAACCCTAACCATATCCCAACTTCCCCGATTGTATGCTTTATTGTATGCTTTATCCATGATGTTTGCTAAATACAAAAAACCTGCGAAAGGTACTGTTCTGCGGGGTAGGGCTGGCAGGGACGACTGAACGGGGCTCTCCATACTTTCAGACAGCGTATCTCTCACGACACGGTAAGCGAAAGACTAATGACGCAATTGGTGCCTGGTGGGAAAAACCAATCGAGGAAAACCACGCGCCACGTAAGGTGTTTCGCCCTCGGATCAAATCCTAGCCTACTAGACGGACAAAGGGCACGGAGCCGTGCACGACAAAGATGCCATACGAGAACCCACCAACGACGAGGGAAGCAAGGGGGAGGAGGAGGGTGAAGGGGTGTGGCCGATGAAGTCGTACAAGCTGCCAGTCCTGGCTGCCAACAGCTTCTGCCGTTCCATGGCTTCCCGTTTCGACTTGAGTCTTCGCGGCTCGGCGGTGAGGTGGTGTGCCACAGCTCGCGATCTCGCCAAGTCGTTTGTACGGCAGGGTGTGCCATCTCGTCCCGGCAACGGCTGAGACCTCGCCGGGGTAATCGCAGCACTTCGGTCAACCATCACGCCGCCACCGCTGTCGACAAAAGGGGATGATAAGATCGGCATATTTGAGACATTTGGTGCATTCAGTGCTACAATCAAATGTATGTAGGGCTTGGTAGGTTGCAAGGCGTCACCTCAGTAAATCTCGCAGAGTTACATGTTGTTAAGCATAGCATAACTACCCACATTCGCAGGTCGCCCTCATATCCAAACCGTCCCACGAACGCGACGCACAATCGGGTTGGTGTCGCTACAATGTATCAGACCCATGCGGCGGCATGTGCCTACAAACACGAATTGTTTTGTCACCTGAGCGCTCGATTTCCGCAGGGAGTCCGACACTGGTGTGCATTTGGCCCTCGTTCAGCCATACCAGTATTTTGTTGGGAATTGAAGGCGCTACGAGACTCGGGCATTCAATCATGTTGTCTTAATCTACATCCGCATAAAACTAGATGCTACGAGAGAACCTCAATGCAGTTCTTTGAGAGAAGGATCGCTTGTTGCAGTCCGAATAACCTACGGTACCTTGTGCTGCGGTGCAGGTGGGTGTTTCCGGTCAGAACGGTCGTAGCAGAGCAGAAGCTCAAAATACTCACCGTGTAAGGGACATATCGTGGTAGGGGTAAAACGGTCAACCGTAAGCTCTCCTCCTTTGTTGACGCCGTGACGCCGCCAGGAATCCTATATAGTGTACCTGGTCTGTACCGCTGGACTGCTGTCGACAACTACGGCACATCCACAAACCTCTATGAAGTGCAAGGGGAGGGAAGGCGGGGGCACCTATTGTCAGACGGACAAAGTTTGAGAGGTAATGTCCGCTGCCCTCGTATGACTGCTTCACTCCGTACCTCACGTGAGCACAACTGCATGCAAGCTCGATCACGCTTCACCGCGGGCACCTCGCTTCCTGGCCTGCAGAGTGTGTTGTGGGCTCTCTTGCGGATGCACACTTTTAATAGTGCTGCCACACAAAGCACATAGCACTGGTTTATGCAGATCCAGGGGGGATGGACGGGGTGTTTGTTAATACAGAGCGAGAGAGGCAGGGGGATTGGTCCCAGCGCCGCGCGCAGAGCTCAGACGAGGTTGTGCGGTGCGATTTTATGATTTTATGTGAACCTCCTCTGCGAAACGTGACAAGTGACGGTAGAACCCGCCGCATATCACGGGTACCAAGTGCATCTACGATTCTGAATGCGCGGAGCCCCCACTGCTGCCGAACAGCACACACACACAGCACACGCTCTCTCCTTGCTTCTTGCCCTTGAGTCCCACGCCTACACCTTCAGACGTACGTGTGGTGTGTGTGTGCTTAGCACCGAGTGAGACAATGCTCGAGAACACGCACCGAAGTCGTGGCAGGCCATGCCGGAGCTGCTCAAGAGTTGTCGTAGCAGCTGCATCTCTCATGCTACCATCATCGCAGCACGGGGGCGGAGTCGACGCGTTCATGATGCCCCCGAAGCTGGCGCCTGCTACAGCAGCGGCTGGGCGGTGGAGCATAGATACAAAAACTGCGGTGTTGTCGAGCCAAGCAGCACGACGCCCGCGCAGGGCGGCCGTCAGGATGGTGTCCGCTGCTGCAGTGGATGGGGTGACCTCAATGAAGGAGGAAGGGGACAAGGATGGGCTTGGCTTGTCGCTTGGCGAGAGGGTTCGAGCCGACTTTCCCATACTGGATCAGGCATGTACACGCTATGCACGTTTCTACTGCCTCTCCTACCTTCCTGCAGCATGACTGCTATACATGTGTAGAGCAGGTCAAACGAACTGAACAAGACAGCAGAGGTAATCATGTGACATGACAGCAGTCTCTATCGCTGCTGTGGCTGGGTGCAGGAGGTCAACACCTCCTGTACGAAGACGTTCACTCCCGTAGGGCTGTGTGCACGCACACACAATAACGGTATGTAGCCTACAAATCGTTCGCATGTTTTACGCATCGCCAACATACAGAGAGTGTGGCAGAGTACAGCCTAATTTTCAGTACAACCGCTGCTGTTTTACATGTGTAGTGTTGAAGGTGTGGGCTTGGTTTCCGTTCCGAAGTATCGAGAAACCGCCGACGAGGTTAATACCCAGACAGCTGCCTGGGAAGCTCTTGTACAACGTTGTGGGATCCCCAGGTTTCCGTGTGTAGGGACTTATCTTGTATATGACGATTTTTTTACAGGTACGCTGTGTATATCACAGGTGTTCGAGAGAACAACGGCAAAGGTACACAGAAATTCGTAGCTAACCCCAACTCTAAAAAAAAACACAATCTCTTCGGGCACCGATGACTTCTCGCGAGTTGTCCACACACGACAACGTGCCAGGGAATCCTCTTGCGGATCAAAGTACCTCGATAACGCGGCTGCCTGGCCGCTTCCCCCTTTTCCCTATCCTCCCAGCGCGCTTCGTCATACTCAGTACACCGTTTCTCTGTATTTTCCTCTCTTTTTGAGAACAGGAGGCGTACCCAGGCAAGCCGCTGGTGTATCTCGACAGCGCTGCTACCTCTCAGAAGCCGAAGGTTGTCATGGACGTCTTGCGAGACTACTACGAGCGCGATAACGCTAACGTTCACCGCGGAGCGCACCAGCTCTCCATCCGCGCCACCGAGGCATACGAGGCTGCAAGGGAGAAGGTGATTTCTTTCTTCGAAGCGGGGGGGCGTACTCGTGTTTCGCACCCCTTTAGTTTGACCATTTGTTTCTTCGAAACAGGGGGGCGTATTCGTGTTTTGCTCGCCCTAGTTGTCTGAACATTGACCAGAGGGAGAAGATGAAAATTTTTTCTTCGAAACGGTGGGCGTAATCATGTTTTGCGTGCCTTAGTTGTTAGACCACGCGTCCTCGGGAGGACGCAGCAAGACCAATGGCCAGTCGTTCCCTCCTACGTTTTCCAACGGCGGCTCAAACATTTTCCCCCTATCCTATCTATCTTATCGTGTAATTTTAGCCGCACAGCAGAAGCACCAGTTGGCCGTTGAATGCTCCGTCCTCCATTGAATGCTCCGTCCTCTCGAGGACGCGTGGTCAATGGTCTAACCGCTAAGGCATGCACAACATAAAAGTACGCCCCCCCCCGCCCCCTGTCAAAACTCGAAGGTGGGCGCGTTCGTGAACGCGGAGACATCGCGGGAGATCGTCTTCACCCGGGGGGCCACGGAGGCGATTAACCTTGTCGCGCAGACGTGGGGTCTGGACAACCTGGCGGCGGGAGACGAGATCGTTACGACGGTCATGGAGCACCACAGCAACATGGTCCCGTGGCAGGCGAGAGTGTGCATCGTACGCTGTTGTTTGTACGACCCGCAACATTTTTTCGGTTGAGACAGCTCAGTGCTACTTCTGCCTCTCTGTACGGGGAAAGGATGTCCGTTGTTCTTGACAAACTGCGATATAACTTTTCCCGAAGTTTTGCGTAGTTTTTTGGGGCGTTGTGCTGCCCCGGATTCTTGTAGCATTGCACAACACGGGATCTGTCCCGTCGGTGTAACCGCTCCCAAACACGACGCTGGCGAAGCCGCAGCATGTCTAACTCGCTCACGCGATCCCCCGGTCGAACACCTCCTTGGCGTTATCGATCTGCTGAAAACATGTCTGCCACTCTAGGAGGGGTGGGTGTACACCGCCTGCAAGACCCTCACGAAAGTTTGACAGATGACAATGAAAAGCTGCGATCTCCGTAGATGAGTCCCAGAGCAGGTCTCCAGGCGGAGGATCGCCCAAGAGAGGCCGACCTCCATCCAGCTGCGCGCGTAGAGGGTAGTCGTCGAACCGACGAAAAACCATCGGTGCTTCTTTGTTCACCCTGAGAACCAAGCCTCTCAAAAATATTGCTGAGAGCATCTTTGTTGTTGTCCGCGTGGCGTTTTCCCTCCCCCACCAGCCTTTTGTTTGTCTCCGCTGGAGGAAGACCGGCCGTGTGTTTTGCTGTGGCCGTGACCCCACGCTTGTTTCTTCTCGCGTCTCTTTTTTGTGTGTGTGTGTGCCTTAGCTGTTGGCGGAGCGGACGGGCGCGGTGCTGAAGTTCGCGCAGATCCGGGAGGACATGTCGCTTGACCTGGACCACATGAAGAGCCTCATCACCGACAAGACCAAGCTGGTAGCGGTGGTGAGGAATCACGCACATAGAGATAGATCAAATCGCCTGCCTGCTGTTGTAAATAATCTATTTAGAGCGTGCAACGGTGTGCTGTGTACGTATCAGGTATACATGTGCCGCCCCCCACTCCGCATTTTCCGACAACCTAAAATCTCGAACATTTCAACGTGCTTTAGTTTTACGCTTTTGGTTATTTCTGAGCAAGTTTGGTTCATTTCTGTTCCTCAGCTTTGGAGTGTGGCACGACATCTGCTACAAGCTGTGTTGTTGGCAGCATGTGGCGCTGGCCCAGCGGCGCGGCCCCCCGATGACGGGTGCAACTTTACGGCGCCACGCCCACGGTTAATACAACGCCGCCGTACGAAGCTGTTTCCCCCAGAGGGAGGCTCCAACAGCAGCAGCAACACAGGGAGCCGCCATCGCCACCTGGATACCGTCCCGTTTTTTTCTTTTCGGCGTCGATGATGTGCAAGCCCTATTGGTTATCGTGGCACACCAAGATGCCGAGCAAGGTGGTCAGAAAATGAACCAAACACTTGGTCAGGAATGAACCAAAAAAACTTTGTCAGACATGAACCAAAAACACCTAATCGAAGGTTGAGTATCTAGGTTTTAGCAAGGTGGATGGCACACGTACCTGTTTACACGGCACGTCATTTCTCACGTACTTTTTTCTCTCGTGGTGGTGGGCGGCAGGTGCACGCCTCGAACGCCCTGGGCGGCGTCAACCCCGTGAGCGAGATCGCGGAAGCGGCCCACGCCGTCGGCGCCAAGGTGCTGGTAGACGGGTGCCAGAGCGTACCCAACATGCCCGTCGACGTACAGGTGCGTTCGCACACGCGCACTCGCGCGACGGCCCCAGATCATGGTAGCCCTTAGAGGCATTCTGGGCCTTCAACCGCGCACTGAGACTGACGATGTATTTTCATTGGTTAGCGCGGTCGATGGTAATAATAGCGAAAACGGACGCACGCACTCGCGGGCCGTGCTAAATAGCACCATGATCGTGTCCTGATGCTACCGTAGCATGGTACGCACACAGCGCTCGCGGGTCGTGCTAATAAATAGCATTGTAATCGATGCTCGTGGGTAGCATGGTAAAGCTCATACACTGCGACCCGCGCCAGCGTTGTGGTCGTCTCCTGATGCTGCGGGCAGTAGCATGGCACTTTTCCTTTTGGCGACCAACTGTGTTTATTGGGGAGTGGTACGCATGTTCGTGAGTTTTTAAGGCGAGAACCGCAACGGGGTCTCTGGTGCGCTCTGGATGCTCTTGACCCTTCGTGCTTGAGCCTTGGCGCCCCTTTTTTGTCGTCAAAAACACGTTGGGATTGTGTCACAGTACCCCATTGTGCAGAGCTATTTCAGTGTGCATTGGCCGACCGCATGTTTCGTGTGCGCGCGCCCGGACGATTGGCGTCATTGCTGTACCAAGATGCTGACCAACCAACAAGTTTTTGACCGAACAACCTGGTGGTTTTCGTTGTCCTCTTTCGTATTTTCGTGTTGGCGTTTGAAGACCGAGCCGTGGGCTTGTCGAGGATTGTTTCGTGTAACTGCGCGTTGGTTGATACCACGCTGTTTTTCTCTGTTTACCTTACTTGTTACGCAACACCATTTCCCCCCCCCCGTTTTTCAGACTCTCGGCGTTGATTGGCTGGTTGCTTCGGGGCACAAGATGTGCGGCCCAACCGGGATCGGGTTCCTTTGGGGACGGATGTCCGTGCTCGAAACGATGCGGCCATGGCAGGTATGTACTTTACCGTAGGTGACCGGAGTTTGCTGTCGTATTCTCTCACCACGCCTCATGTGCCATTTTGTCCCAAGTTTAACCACGCCAACACTGCTACAGTCTCAACACGCCTTAGTGTACCATTTGGTGTTGTCCCGCTTGTATACACATGAACACTGCTACACCAGTAAGAGTTGTTTTTGTTTCCCTCTGATATATTCTCATATTTTGCGGTTCATTCTTCTGTTCATGACCGTACTCGTGTTTTCACCTGTTTTGACCGCCGCGAAAGTTTCCTCTCGTAGAACCCTGGTCGTAGCGATGCAGAACCTAGCTAGCACGCGTGTTGTTGTTGTTGTTGTTGTTGTTGTTGCGGAGATGGACATCACCAATCCAAGTTTGGAGACCTCTGCTACCCTGCCGTTGCTCGTTGCCTGTGGACAGAACAACAAATTGCAGCACACTTAGTGGCAGTCCTGCCCGTCATCGATTCGATGGTAGCATTCTCCCCCCCCCCCCCCCCCCCCCCC